CCTGGCCTCTCTTCATAATTTCTTGAGGGATTTCTTTTCTTTCTGCAGAGGGCAGTGATGACTGTTCGCAAATGTGTGATGGAGAAGAGCCCCAGGAAGCCTCCAGCTCCCTAGCAAGATGTGGGTCAGGTAAGGAAGGGGAGGATTTCTGGCCCTGGGCTGCAGAGTGTCAGGAGGTTGAATTTGGAGCTTGTGTTTCCTGGTTGACTTTCCTCTGCGTATACCTCACAGTGAAGGGATCCAATTATATTCTGAGATTTTTCATATTTTCTGTACATGGATCTTTTGGGAAATGCAGGGAGGAATCTTTATATGGAAGTCTGTGTTTAACAGAATGGGATTTATTGTTTGAACATATGTATTGAGACAGTCTAGTGGTAGTTGAAATATGCCAAGACAAGGCAATGTGTTCCCTCCTTCATATTCTCATACCTTTCAATACTACAGTATTAAAATATTTTACCAAATAAGATCTCCTGATACCCTCACAAAACCTTAAGATGGGGGCAGGCAAACTGCATAATCCTATTTTATAGGTGAAGAAATAAAGGTCAGAAATACAGTAGGAAGAAGCAATGCTCTTTTGTCTTTATTTTTCATAGCTATCAATACTATTATTTGAACTCATATAAAATTTCTATTCTCACTCCCTCTATGGAAATAAAAAAGGGTGTCATTCCTCTGCTGGTAGATACTTTTAATCACTTTTTCACAAACTTGACAAAGCCTTCAGTGTAATGGTATTCTACCATCTAACTGGCAGAATTTAGATCAACTATTTATGAGACTAAATGCTGTTTTTGACCAGTACTCCCCATTTTGTCATTGGATCATGCAGTGTTTTTTCAGAGTACTCTGATAAGTGTTATAATTTTACCCACAAATCCCTCAAGACTTAGATAGGGAAGGTGCTGTTATTGCTGTTTTGAGGAGCCAGAAACACAGAAGTGCATGTGACACGGGTGTTTGATGAGACTCAAGAAAAAAGAAAGAGCAGAGACCAGTGTCCTGGATGACTGCTTACAGGCTTTCAGTTCTATGAGTGGGCATGGGTTGGGTTGAGGTCCCATAGTCTGAGTCCAATGTGGATGCCCAAAGGGTTTTTAGGAATCCAAGAGACTCTCCCAGGGTTCAATGGAAAGATACTCTTATTTAACAAATAAAGAAAGATTAGGGAGAGATGAGGAAACATTATCAAGAGTTGGAAAATACTTGAATGTAATCTACAATACGAGATAG